TGAGTGAGGTCCTCAGTCTGTACCATAGTCACCAAAAATCTACAATAAGGCTCGTGCTCGTTCATTGGGGCGCTCTGCTCTTGTAGCATGCGACGAGGACTCCCTTTTAAGATTTAGCCATGTTTGCAAACTAAATTTATATTGCAGTGAACGCAAATAGGATCATCGCATAGCTTTACGTTTATTGGAGAAAATCACCAAGAAACTATTGTATTACACTAGTGCATGTTACCCGCTTTCATAAAAGACACCTAAAAACTTGTGAAAACTGTTTAAACATACCAGAGCAACAAAAAACATGGAAAGCAAGAACTGGAATTGGGCACTGCTCAGAGGTTGAAGAGGCAAGGTAGGGAACTGGAGTATTCATTATATTAACTCTCTACGGCTGAGGCAGCAGCGTCCAGATTTTCTGCTGCGAGTAAGGATTGCCACTTGTCGACGATTCAGTTCAAGAAGATAAGGGTGCAACATTGCTAGCATTGACGATGGTACAAAACAGTGAAGACTACCTAAAATGATGACTTTCCATCACTGAATCAACCCTGAAGGCAGTAGATGCACTGATGGGAGTGGGGCAGATCAAACGTCACTAGTGAATGTGCGCTTTTTCCACACATTCCAGCACGCTGGGAAGTGTGGCAAAACACCCCTCCACCCGTGACGCTGAATACCTTCCTCGCACCCGAGCCAACGCACTGAAATCTCTTGAGCCCGCATTTATACTTCACGACTCGAGAGCTACAATCGCTCAACTTTGTCCGGCCGCACTCCTTCCTCTGGACCACTGCTAAGCTGGAATAATCTCTGTTCTAGATAAGATTGGATTCGCAGCAGCAGTGGTTCAACGATTAGGAGTGGGGCGTCGGCTGTCACAGACTCGCCATTCTCAACTCGCAAGAATGAATTGTTCAAGTCGCGAAGTACGAACGCGGTCCAAAATAGTAAGCTGAAGTTATAAGGTAAAGGCGCGATTCGGCGACAGGGGGGGGGCATTTGCATTTTTGCTGCTTCACATCGACGTCTCGACTCACCAAGAAAGCCATTCCGTGAGCTTACAAGAGTTGACAGGTTTTACCATGGTGTCTCAACGAGCTTGCTCCAGCTTTACAAGAGTTCACAGGTTCCACACCAGAGCGAGACTTGTAAGAACTGGTGAAGCAGCAAAAGTGCAAAATGTCACCCCCCCCCCCCACCGTCGCCGAAATACGCTAGTAAAGGCTTTGAAAGCCTAAATCAGTTGACTACGCTGAAGTACTCACTGTAAAAGTCCAAACTTGGAAAGGGGTTTATTCGAAAGGCTTACCCATTTCCGACAGGACTTCAGAGGTCAACATCAAAAGATAGCATTCTAGACTGGATGGGATGTCTTCTGCGTAGTTCTGAAAAGTGGACAAATAATCAAGCATCATTATGCAAAGCGACTGTGCTGATAGTAAAGAGTGATTTGCTGAAGAGTAAATGCGCTTCTAATAGTCCAGTTCGAGCTTAAAGGGCTGTAATAACGAACCGGCTTGAAGAACGTGGCTAACGAATGTTGATCTCCAAATCGAAACTGGAAGAACATCACGCAAAGTATTGCTATCACGGAAGCAGAAAAACGGGAAAGAACAAATGGAATCGACGAATCCGACCAAACCATCGTCAACTCTGATATTTTCTCCTTCTGAAACCATAAAATATCGCATTAATGTGTTATACAGGTAAGATGGAGGATTTTGGTGCAACAGTCAGGAAATTCTCCTTTTTTGTACACAGGAATTGGTTCCTACACCGCAAGGCTCTTCCTTCACAGGGTCAGGAGGAAATTTTCGTCTCCTGCGGGCCATAACGTTCCCGTAGCCCATTCTACTTTTAAATGCCTCGGAGTCTGGACTGTATGTTCTATCGTATCACCGTACTGGGATAGCGCCCTCCTCACTTCAAATCGGAGAAAGCTATAACATCCAACAACTGTACTTCCGAACATATGAAAAGCCAGGAATACACATCAAAAACAAAATTATAACCAAAAGCAATCCTAACCTTAACTCCACTGAGTATACTGCTCAACAAATAGCACCAATCCTTTTGCGATTGCAGTTGATAAGCATCCACCGATACTTTTCCACAGAACTCTAGAGATTGCACGTACTGACTGAGATCTCCTCCATTTGATGAAGAAGTGCCGCAGAGATCAACCAAAGCCTTGAAAACCTTTCTGTAGACTGTAAAGTATTTAGTAGTATAAAGCCTAATTTTATTAGGGACGCATTCCGGGCAGTGGGATGGGCGGAGACTCATAGATGTTGTGCCTCCCTTTTTGAGTTGTAAGTGAAGGACCTGTGCTACATGCGCCCGACTAAGGCCGCGTTCATACATGACGACGTTGCAGAAATGACGAAATTGCAGACAGGAAATGTATACGCATCGATTTGAAAACCGCATTTCTGCAAATTCCGCGGAATTTGCAGAAATGCCGAAATGACGGACAAAGAAGTGATAGGGATCGATCGCTTGGTTCCTGCCGTCGTGCGGAATCGGGAGAAATGCAGAATCTGCAAATTCCGCATTTCTGCATTTCTCCCAATTCCGCGGAATTTGCAGAAATGCCGAAATGACGGACAATGACCTGATAGGGATTGATCGCTTAGCCTCACCAGCGGAATTTCTGCATTTCGGCATTTCTGCACATTCCGCACTTCTGCATTTCTGCATATTCCGCGGTTTTTGAAATCGATAGACACATTTTCTTCTTCTGCAAGTTCCGCGGTTCTCCCAATTCCGCATGTCTGCAAATTCCGCAGTTCTGCACATTCCGTGGTTCGGCATTTCTGCATCATGTGTGAACGCGGCCTAAGTGCATTCCACAGGTGTTTTTGCTGTTTACCAAGAAAATGCTCCGCAACCCAGAAGTTCAGCGCAGTCGTACTTCACCCATTTCCATTAGCTTCTCCATTGCAGAAAAAAACACCTAATTTACAGCTGTCACTTTTTTTGCTGTGAAAAAGCATAACTGTGCGGAACAGCGTCGCAGTAAATATTGCTTATAAATCAGAGATAGTGGGAGGGGTTCAGAAGCACCTTCCACGATCATTCATGAGAGTAAAGCCCCTCTGAGAACAAAGTTATTGTGGACCACAGTGGACAATCTCAGACCAGTTCGGCGTCACAAAGTTGTAAGGTAGGGGTGTTGATAAGTAGTGGAGCCTAAGTGACTCCGCCTGTATTCTTACTTGTCCTGTCTGTCGTCTTACTCCGTCGTATGCTCTCTCGCTGCCTATGTCGGTTACGGGGCAGATGTCAACCAGACGATCTCTCGCTGCGAGGGTCCAGGGCTAATTTCACGGGGCATCTACCAGTCCAGCAGTTGAAGGGGAAGGTAAAGGAGGAGGGATCAGAGAAGGAAGGAAGAAAAAGAAGGAAGGAGGGAGAAAAAAGGAAGGAGGGGAGAAGCTTTCCGGATGACATGTGCCCTGAGACGGCCTATGTCCGGTCTCTCTCGAGAAGCCAACGAATCATCGCTTTTCGCTTGGAACAGCTCGGGCTTTATTTGGAAACCTTTTGGCTATTTGTTTGCATTTTTTAACGTCCAAGTCATCTAGCTGCACTTCTGGCCCAATACGAACAGAAACTTCACTATAAATATATTACCTCAGGTTTCCACATGAGCAAAGATCGTAGGAGACCTGGAGGGACAAATAACGAATGCAATTTTTGAAGGACAGGTGGCGCTGCCACAATCACCTAAACGAATTAAACCCAGCATCTTGAGTCGTGTGAACAGAAAGAGCTTCTGAGCCTATTATCCAAGGAGCATGTAAAAAAAGTTCTATACCTTAACATCTAAGAGAGCCTGCAGGGGCCACTCAAGGAATTCAAGCTCGTCTTCAGCGAACTCAACCTCAACACTACCGATTGCTTCATGTTCGGTCATCACATCCGACTGATGCTTAAAATGGATAGAACACATCATTGAAATACTGCTAAATTCAAATCTAGGAAAATGTCATAGTTAGGTGAAGTAAAGGAGAGATAAAAGCATTTGGTGAGAGTTGATACATACGAAGCTTTTGAGAAATTCAAGCGCAGATCGCTTGTCACAGATTTGTCGCAGTGTTTCAACGTAATTCTGCCCGAACATGCTAATCCATGGACGATCTACCGCTTCTTGATTAAGATGAGATATCCTAAAATCTTCATAAATCGGAGAACAAGGAAAAACTCCACATTTTAAGTCACATTACGCGGTTGCAAGTAGTGGGTGGTCGGGTCCAAGCATGAATTTCTATGTATTAGTTGATTCAACTGTAAAGAAGGAAGCTGGCCAAAAACATTCCAATGTGGGGATTTAATTCACTTTCAGCAGTGGGCAAGCAGGAAAAGTTTAGCTGCGCGGACCCGAGAACAGACAACCGAGTACAGTCGCAGGAGTAATGAAAGGACATCTACCTCTACCACGGGATCTCCAGCGAGAGGGAGGGGAGAGGGGCGTATTTGCCTGGAGGGAGGGCAGGAGAAGCTGGTATTTGCTTTCCTAGAAAACTATTTTTCGTTGCCATAGTTTTAGGACCTTTCCCACTTCCGATTTTCCTGTTCACATGCCTCCAATTGCTGGTCTTGGTCTCTACTCCCCCCTGTTTCGCTCCGCCCTCACCCGACGGCCGAGTTGTTCTTGGGAAAAGTGAGAACTGTCTCTTGGAAAGAAACGACCCAAAAAAATTGAGGAGGTTGGGAAAGAATTCATTCAGAAATTTAAGAAAGATGGTCGGCGGATGGAGAAGGGGAAATGTGGGGAGATGTCGTACCAAGATAAGAACTTTTTAGAGATAGTCGTTAATTTTGGCATTTTCCCCAAAGGTAGAATGTACCAAGTGAGCGCATCGTCAGATTTGATTCGCGAATCTCGTAGAGCACGAATATTCGCGCGCATTGCAGTAGAGGGATGAAATGATCGCGCGGTGATTGCGCCTTTAAGAAGGAGGCAGCCTATCTACAAGATCTGTTCTCCATTGTAGCCTTTTTTGATTGTTGTTGTTTTTTTTGTGAAATGAATTCTTTTTTTTTGCTGTGTTCGAGTGACCATCTTACAAGAATGTACCCTGTTATCAACGCATTATGGGTGGGGCTGGGCTAGATTGAGGAAAAAGAGATAAAGGTCGAGTCAGACAGCGTTCAGACTTCGCGGTCGCATGATCGGATCGCTCTGGATCGCGCGCTCACAACCGGGAGAGCTCCACTGCCAAGCGGTGCGCCGCCGCAACGGCAGAATTCAAATTCAACGGCAGTCGCCTTCACATTGTGACAATTTGAATTGTGCCGTTGCGGTGGTGCACTGTTGGGCGGAGGAGCGCCCCCGGTCGTGTCGCCTATTCGGTGGCGCGATCGCGAAGTCTAATCGGGGATCAGCTCATCGTATATTTGGGAACAATTCAACCGATCAGTAATCGCGGAGCATGTCAGTACGGATCACGAAACACATACCGTAGCGGATTTGCTATATAACTCGTCAGTGCACGTCTGTGGAATTCTCTGAACACACGATCGCGATATACACTCACTTCAGCCTGTATTTTCATTAGGATCGTGTAGTGAAAAAAATTTGTACGAAGTAAGATGAACAAAAATTGAGTAAAGTACCTTTGTTATAGTATTGTACGTCTCCAAATTCGCCCTGATGAAGAAGCTTTGCAATCGGGAGAAGTAAGCTTCACAATCCACAAGAATCTGAAGATGCTGAAGTGATCCTTAGTTGAAAAGAACATACTGGGTAGGATCCTCACATTGTTGCCGTTGATTTCATCTTGGTCTTTTGGTTCAGAACGATTGAATCCCAGGCAGATAAGATAACGCTTAATTCTACAATTTTCTTTCTTTCAAATAAATTGATCCACAAAAAATGCGCAAAGTACCTCGTTGTTTCCTCCTTTACTACACATTGGTTTAAATACGTAAACGTCGGCAAAATGTGAAGCAATATCACTAATCAAAAGACGCGTTTCCGGCAGGTACATAGTGTAGATCTGCAAGAGAATAGAAAGTAGAAAACAGTAGTACAGATAAGAAGCTAGACAACACCTTGATAATAAACGACCCTCCATTAGCAAGGAGCTGCTGAGCGATCCTAAACTCAGATTCCAGAAGCGGCAGGGTTTTCGATTCCTGCTCACCTGGCACATCCTGAAAGGTGAACGGAACATTCAAATGCAAAGCGGCAACAATGAAGCATTGACGCTAATGTTAGTTGAAGAAAAACCTCTCAATTACAGGTTTGGATAGTGGCGTTCAGTATTGAAACTACAGTCGTTAAGTGACCCCAAAGTAAGAAAAAAGTAAAAAAAAAATGAAGTGACGACTCCTGGCAGCCTCGCTGTACGAGTTCTCCGGGCCTGTTCGTTTTATGCCATGACAATATCCTGCCCCATCTAACAGAGAAGAAAAAAGCAAAACATGGAGAAAACTGAACTCGTGATAGAAAAGACCTTTTGATTTCGGGGGGCGGGGCAACCAGGGAGGCGTCAGAACCACTAATGAGGGCTGCAGCGCCTTCGTTATTTAACGTGAAGCCGTGAAAAGGGGACAGTCTTGGAGCATGAGGATCAGACTACATGAACAAAGAAACGCCTACGTATGCTTGAGACTGCCTTTGACGGATACGAAACATCCAATTCTAGTCCACGTCATGAAGAACTCACATGAAGGCACGTTCAAAAATGGTGACTTATGCGGCTCAAATACTAATGACATGATTTTAAATAACAAAAAGTGAAAAAAAACAGTAAAAATCCGCTCCAAATGCCCATATAGAACAGCTTGTACGGGCGTAAGGCTCCTGCCAATTCTTTCTCCTTTCACCATTTAAAATGGAGAGTCAGTAAAGGAACAATCGCAGACCAGAAAGCATTTAGGAATGGAAGTTGGGCGTCGCAGCGGTCAGTGGGCAGGGCCGTGGTTCCGTCGCGAGTGGGTGGCGCTTTCCTCACATATTTTCAAGCTGCAAAATAGTACATCATTCATCCTTGCGAACAGGACTACCATGTCCAATCAAGGAGCCTGAACATTAAATGGACGGAGGCGCGCCTTTTACTGGAAAAAAAATCGTGTGGGCCCGGAAACAAAACCCCAAAGAACTTTAAGGTTATGGTTACATCAAGAGCATCGATGGGCACCTGAGTGTACAGACTCCCATCCGCCGTCACAAGGTGAAAACATCCATTACACACAAGCGAAGCGATGTAGTTGTCATCCCACTAAACATCATCATTAGATCAACGTAAACTAATAGGGCATCAAAAAGGTAAACAGAACGAACTTTGGTAATATCACCACTACTGTCCCTTCCAAAGTGCCATCTTTCTGGCTGACCTAGTATGATTTCATCTTCGAGTAACATATCGCACGAGCTTGTTCCTTCGTGATGGGGATTTAGACTGAAAAATGATGCATGATGCAGTGGAAACGAAGGCATGAAGGTGAGGGGTCAGTGCACGTCCTGCCCTGGACAAAATTTTCCGGCGTACGCCCTCGCATTTACTCCGACAGCAAAGCTCCCCTCTACATCCTACCTACGCTCTTACCAACTTTACCCATCATTATGCCGCAGAACGATGGACGGAGGCCCAAACGAAGGGAAATTAGACCTTCCCTTGCACGAACCAAAAAGGCCGCGCGCGGGATTCCGTGCTACTACGTGCTCGAGGGGATTGGGGAACTTCATCAGTTCCTCTGGTACATGCATGGATGTCACTTCCACTGGTAACCATAAAGGAGGAGAGGCATTTGAATGCTCTAAGAACCCCGTAAGTTGACAGTGGCTCCAATTAAAAACCTATAAACGCTAAATAACTCCTTAGGAAAGAGAAAAAAAGCAAAAAAAAATCATGGAGAACACCCTAACTAGGGAGGTCGTTCAGGACGTGGAGCGCTTTTTGAAACGGTTTTTCGCATGATGTGGGGTCACGTGCATGGAGTACCAAACTGGTGTTCATTTTTCCTGAACGCCTCTGGGAATGCCAAAAATGGAGTGAAAAAAGTCCATGGAAACCGACTGTTATTGAGCCTGAATGGGCTCTAAATCACTCGCAAGTTCGGCCAGTTGCTGCCTATAGGGTCCTTATAAAGGTTGTACTGGTATCGATGAGAAAAGTGGTCGTCAATGGGGTCTTACTTGTGGCACGTAGTTAAGAGTCGACGGCCTCGGGCTCTTAAGCAATCGAAGTGGTGCCTGTGCCAACGATCGGATGGCCTAGTGGATAGCGTGGAGGATTCTCAAGCAGACAGTGGGGATGGGGGATGATGGTTCGACTCCCCTCGGCTTGCACGTTTTTGCATTTTTTATTTTCCGTTGTTGTCGCTTCCATATACGTCTGTTAATGAATTTTACTCGGATATCTGCCATTTATAGGCACATCCTAAATAGTTATAGCCCGTAGTCGGTGCTATTCAGCAATTTCGATTTCACATACCATTAAGCAAGAACTTGTCTGAAAGCTGAGCTTATGTTATTCGATGCCCTGATCATGACTATGGCATTTACTTTCAGCTCTAGTGCCATTTATCTCCAATTTGGAGCCAAGTCTTTCTCCCACTGGAGTCGCTATGTACATTCGTTTGACTTGCAGGGCCATTCTGACGCCAGATTGGATTGACGTCAAGAATAAGTGTCAGAATCGTGATCAGGACCATCGATTACCCCTATAGGCAAACTTTCAGCCAAAAAATTTTTTTGACTTTTTTGAGTCTGTGCATTGGGTTTATGCTCAAGAGTCACTTTGTTGAAGTCGTACTTTTGCTGGTTATCGAAACCCTCATTCAGTGGTACGGAAACAAAAAACTAGCAACAACCATAAACGCCATCGAAAAAAAGAACAAAATAGTCATCATTCCTCCAGGTGCATTTGATGAAGAAATCGGATGAGTCTCTCCTCTTGGTAGGGGAGGACGACATCTTCGTTGAGCGAGAAGTCGTGGGGGTCGACAAATGTCCAGGATGGTTTTTCACTTGTTCTGCGGCCACCCATGCCCATGCCAAGTATGAATGGACCTTATGAGCACCAAATCCGCGATGCGGCTGCCCGGCGGCCCACCACGTCATCGCTACGTCATCGCAACTCCAAAGTGTGGGTCTCCGGTCATCACCGACGACCAAATGGTCGGTCTATCACAACTCAAAAAAAGTCAAAAAAATTTTTTTGGCCGAAAGTTTGCCTATAGGGGTAATCGATGGTCCTGATCACGATTCTGACACTTATTCTTGACGTCAATCCCAATCTGGCGTCAGAATGGCCCTGCAAGTCCCTCAAACGAATGTACATAGCGACTCCAGTGGGAGAAAGACTTGGCTCCAAATTGGGGACTACGTGCCACAAGTAGGACCCCATTGGCGACTACTCTTGTTCATCGATACCAGTACCTTTTAAAGGGACCCGTAGCACAACCTGGCCGAACTTTCCGCTGTGATTAGACCCATTCAGGCTCAAAAACAGTCGGTTTCCATGAACTTCTTTTTTACTCCATTTTTGGCATTCCCAGAGGCGTTCAGGAAAAATGAACACCAGTTTGGTACTCCATGCAACGTAACCCCACATCATGCCCAAACAAACAGCGTTTCAAAAAAGCAAAAAAAAATCATGGAGAACACCCTAAGTGATGACCCAGCCAGCTTCTCTGGACGAAGTTCTCCGAGCCTGCTGGTCTGATGCAACCAAACTGAACCTGCCGCTTCTGGCTCACCAATCGTTTTTTTGCGTCTTCAGTGCCAATACCATCTACGACTGAGTTCGCGACAGAGATCGCCTCTGTGCATCGGGCAGGACAAAAGCAGAGGCGTCAAAACTGCCACCTCCTGGGGCCACAGCGCCGTTGTTGCTCAAGCCGCAAAAGAGGAAAAATGTTGAGACTGAAGACCACACTACTCGTACAAGGAAGTACGCATACGCTTGAGCGCGGATACTGTCTTCAGTCAGATTCCAGCTGCGCGACTGCGAGCTGCCTCCCGTGCCCCGCATCTCTGTTACTCTATCAACTACAAATTAATCGACCGGGCCTCATTGTGGAATATTCGTCGTGTTCTTCTGCTTCATTCTGATATTAAGCCAAACAGTATCACTAATGGTAACAGTAGTACCTACCACTTAAAATCTGGCCCATCTATAAGTTAAAGCCGTAGGATGTGTCTTTAGGTCTATTTCCACCTGACAAGGATAATAAACTGGAAGAAACGACGAAATATGACTCACGAATTCGCTTCCCAAAACCAATCCATCTTGGAGTGAAATGTACAGAGAAAACGATCTAGAACAGAAATGAAGTGGCCAGGTGCCTCGCAAAGGTGGAATGACCTAAATAGTGGATCCTTTGTTGAAGTAAAAACAACGATTGTTTGAATCAACACGAATACCAGACCTTAGACGTTTGCAGGAAGGGTGTATATGTAGAAGACGAGGATATCTTACGAGAATTTCGAGGAATTTACAGTAAGCCTGGCTAGTAGCATTACAATTGAATTGCTCCCTGCAATATTCGACAACTCTTGACATGAAAAAAAGACGCTAGTCTAATATAGATCCGAGACACAGCGCACACCTATATTGGACACTGGCGCAAATTGATACTATTTGAAGGATTTGCGCAAAACAAAATTAAATTATCCGCACAGTTAGCAGTCACCTTAAAAGCTTGGGAGCTGCGGAAAGCGGATGTGTCATCTGCGTGTGAAGTCTCCATTTCCGCTTCCTATCGTTGTTGTTAGCACAAATAACACCGATTTTTTCCTACAACTTAACATAATTGATGTATCGTTTAAAGGCGGTGACGTAGTTGGGGATGGAGGGAGATCACTCGACCACGCCGCGGTATCCCTTCCCCAAAAAGGCTTAGGCTAGGACCAGAGAAGCCGAGAAATAGTCCCGCAGAGAAGGCATAGTATTTATTAGAATTAAGACCGCGTTCAGACTTCGCCGACCGCGCGATCGGATCGCTCGACTGGATAGCGCCATGGGAACGCTTGACTGGA